CTGTTCTTGGGTGGTAGCCGCTTGTGATTTGGGGTAATGCTATTTCTCTTCTTCACGTTCATCGACTGTTTTGTATTGCTAGCAAATACTGTGGGGTTAACAACAACCGGCAGTTTTGCCGGTGTGTTAGGCAGGGTTGTGTTAACCTTGGTCACCTGTTTTACTGGTTTAGTGCCAGGCGATTTTTGTTTGGTCATTTGGACCTTAGGGCTGATTTTGGGTGGGACCTGTGGCTTTGTCAGTGCCTCAGATACTCTACACCGAGTGCAAATGTACCAGAACCTTGGGCAGGGGTAACTCAGAATGATACCGTAGTACACTTTAGGTAATATACTGTCACAGTGACAATTTACTCATGTACCACGGAAGTTGTATTCGAAAGCACGGTCGCTGATTTTGACTAATAATGAGCAGGCAAAACAGTCATCCTTATGCTGTTTCTCGGCAATGGACTTTGTCGACTGAGCCTTTGAGCGTCTTTTTCTCCCATTCTTAATTAGCTTACTGGTCTTCCTCTGTGGTGTTTGCGTTGAGTGATCTAAAGTATGGACATTGAAAGGCGTACTATCGACTGACTGTTTGGGTTTTTTAGCAATCCGTTCGCACAATATTAGGATTTTCGATCCACTATCGACCCAAGGGTTTACGCCTTTATAAGTTATCCTGGTTGTTATAGTGTAATATGTACTAGCGACCTTATTACTTGACATGATACCAGGGAGATTAGGGGGTGAATACCAAGATAACCAGAATACGAGATACACAAAAGAGGGATTAAGGAAAGAAGAAATTTAGACGTATATAATAAAACTACAAGGAATAGAGCCAGAAAGTACTCCAAAATTGCAACTTTACCTTTGACCGTATTAGTAAGTAGCTTTGCGTGTATCCAGTAACTTGTCCACAAGTCCTGTGTTTGTGAGTTTGTGAATGTATGTATGCTGCCGAAGCAACTAGAAATAGAGCAGTTGAATGAGGTAGCTAGACCAACCACGCAATGGTTCTGATTTGAAATGGTTCCGTTTGCCCAAAGTTGTTTTCAGATTGTCAACCAGCGAATGGAGACAAATTTTTATAGCTTCGGAGGTGATGAAGTATCCCAAAAGTGGATTGTTTCCCGTAAATGGAAGAGAGTCAGCGAGGACACGTCAAATTCGAAACTCGCGCGAAGCTGAAAGTTGATTTCTTTGTGCTGGATTCTTGCTCTTTCAGCACGGTTCAAGGTGTTTGGATGAGTTCAGTGGATAGGGGTCTAGTCAATGGACTGCACGAATTCTAATCATTCGACAGTTTGTGAGTTTATATGTCCCGTGATTCAATTAGTACGTTCGTTTCAGGGCATTAGGGGTTCCCGATACCAGCAGCTATCACATTACCAGGCCGCAGATCCGTTGGTTTCAGTGTGAGGAATAATAAGGGGAAAATTTTAATGTTGTTAAGAACAGTATTTCAGAACTAAGTAAATAAATGGATAATCTAATTTATTGGTTTGTAGTGAAGATTGTGCGAGAGGACTGATGGCAGAGATAATAAGCACGATAGATTAGGTTAGTGATTTGAGGAGATGGCAATAATAACAATCATCAGTCCCCAAGACATGCATCAGGCACAGCTGGTCCACAAAGGAGATGATGATCCGTGAGTTTGAGTTCATCAAGTTGCCTCTTAGAGCTGTCAACTGAAGGGGCTGTGTTCACCCTTTCTGGAAGTCACCTCGAAACTTTCCAAAAAACTTACGCTTGAATTAAGAAAGCCACTCAACAACTCTACTGTTTACTGACCTTATTTGTACTCACTTGTTGAAAATGTGGATCCATCAAACTGTTCCTGTCAGTGACATAGTGTAAATGTGTCATCAGAAACAGACTCTTACTGCTTACTAAACTACTTAACCATTTACGGTAAATATGGTGGCGTTTGCAACAATATGATCTTGCCTTTATACTGTCATGCCTCATGTAACACACTGACATTTGAGAATAAATAATATTTTCAAACTGAATCAGACCACCTCCTTCTGTAGTTAGTCTTTAGTCAAGTTCACTTAATTTAGCTAAACCCTAGGTAAGTATGGGAATGATAACGTTAGAAAATCTGTGTTGAGAATATCAAGATGCTTACTCTTCGGGTATATCATTGTACTTCCACGGTTCCCGCAACGATTCTTCATCAACTATCAAAAAGAAAATTACCTCTTGTTACTCTGATCTGTAACGTATTCTCAACCTACTGTACTTCCAAACCCTCAGCCGTTACGCAACTTACGCGTGATTTTGGAGAGATCAGACAATTTTATAATCCAAACTTTCTCATCTGTCCATAGAATTAGATCTAAATAAAACAACTATAAATACGGATGTACAGCGTGAAGAATTTTCTTCTCAGTACAGTCGTTTTGATCTACACTACAGTGGAAACTTATGATGAATACTAACTGCTGTGATTTGCAAAATCAATGTAAACATTAATAAAAATGTTGTTAATCCCCTAAATTACCTATACATTTCTAAGCAAAAGTTAAGTTGCAAAGGAAAGAAAAATCCTGCGATAATTAACCACTTGGTTGTGCTAGGTGAAAGGATTTTTACGTATATACGCCGCAGCATTAGATATAAGGTGAGGTTCATATTTTGTATCAAAGCTCGATGCCTGTTACTCGAAACTTAGAGTTAAAATATCACATACATCAAGCCCAATCTTATATTTGCAAGGCAAACGCATGGCTTTTGAGGTTTATACAAAATAGGTGTAAATCCTTTAGATTTTCTTTTATGCACCGACTTATTAGGGTTCGATTGGTACTACTGAAACTGTCGTTGCAGCATTTTAGATACAAATCCGTCTTTTAATTTTTTGACATTATTATGTTCTACTGGGGATACATTTTACTTCTGCTTCCTAGATATACTGACATATTCTGCAAGAGGCTCAAAAAGAACATGTCAGAGATGATAATTATTTTACCTAAAATTTTCCCGTCACAATTTTTAAGTGATCGATTCATGATTTAAATGAATGAAGATAAGAACAGATTTGAAAAAGAGGGTCGAGTTATAGAAACACAATAAACGGGCACATCAGTAGGTTTTCAGAAGGATGAAGCAGGACGTTAGAACCAGATTGGTTAATAAAGCCTCAGATCACCACTTTCTGGCAGCCAAAATAAAATTGAAACTCAAGAACCTCTAAGCAACGGGACAAACAACATCACAACTGTTTATGATGGCCTTTCTTCGGGATACTGACAAACTCAACGAATTCAAGTACTATCTCAAAACAACAACCGCAGTATAGATGCTTCTTCAACACTACCGCGTGACTGAGAAGATAGTAAATATCACATGGAACTCTTAAGATGTAATAAACTGCAAAAGCGTGCATACAGAGCTGCCCAATGACCCAAGCAAAGTGAAGACCGATGTCAAACAATGTCGCTTTTCCACACTTTCATTTTCTCCCAGTAGTCGACTGGACTATGCAGACCTCAGCATCTGGGGGAGGCACGGGTTGAAGTGGAAAGCTAGGACGCACGTGGACAGTCTACACTTCACAGGTGATCTGACTCCTCTATCCCATACGCAACAACAAATGCTGGAGAAGACGATCAGTGTAGCAGCAGCGTGGCAGCAATAAGTCTCAACATACACAAAGAGAAAAGCAAGTTTCCATGATACAGCACAACATGCCTAAACCAAGCCACACTCGATAGAGAAGCTATGGAAGATGAAGAAACCTTCACAAATCTTCACAGCCTAATTTATGTGCAAGTTGGATTGGATGTGGATGGATAAAGCCACGGTAGTATTTCAACAATTAAGGAACAACTCAAAACAACTATCAACCATAATAAAAGTCACAATTTTCAACAAAAATTTCAAGATAGATCCACTGTATGGGACGGAAAGTTGGAGAACTACGATAGCCATCATTATGAAGATACAAGTTTTTATTAATAGTTTTCTGTGATAATAATTCGGATCCTTTAGCCAGACACAATCATCAACAACCCACTGTAGAACAGAACACACCAGATCTGAGCAGAGGAACAAATCAGGAAGAAGTGCTGGAAGTGGATAGGATGCGCGTTAAAGGAAGCACCCAAATACATCACAAGGCAGACCGTCACTTGGAATCTCAAATGTCAGTGGAAAAGACGGTGGCCAAGGAACATATTACGCCGAAAAATGGAGGCAAATGAGAAGAAATTACAAAAATCGGACAGAATTGTAAAGGGAATCCCAAGACAGAGTAAGTTGGAAAATACTGGTTGGTGGCCTCCACGTGGAGTAACAGGCGTTAGTAAGTAAGTCGACTTTATGTAGTGTCGTTTTCCTGTAAGGACTGTCGACCGTGAGGTCCTATGGCAGTTTCTGCCAATGTAAGAAGTATAAAAGAAGTAGATCAACCGTATACGGGCTCTCTACATGAAAACCACTAAATGGGTGAGAGCTTATGGCGAACTGTCATTGTGATTCATTACCCAAAATGGTGTTCGTCATGGTTGTCCATTTTCTCCATGATGAACCACCTGGCTCAATGATAAGCGCGCCAAGTATTCATACTCAAGGTTAAAAGTTCTCTGTTTTCTACGGTGCTGTGAATTCTCACAGCCGATGAGTTCATTGCTACTAAACAACAGTCTAGTAATTGCAGGTTCCCAATAGTGGCCTAGAGTTGATCACTTCATGAGTCCAAAGAAAAATTTCAGTGTTTCGAATTTTAACAGCTTTTTACAGTTAGGTAGAGACAAAATGATATGATGAAATAATCTCTGTTTCATGGGGTATGTGAATGTTTAGGCACAAACTTCCAATATGTTATTGATGAATGTACAATCTAGTCCAGCAGCATGTTCATATGGTTCAGAGCGATTACTTGAGGCCATGTTTTCTTCTATAAAGTCCATAATGTCAGTAATCAGCCAACTGCTTTTCTACTCAAAACCATTCACATTACCGAAGTGTGGTTCGAACGTCACATTAGTGCGGTTGATTTATCCCAAGGTCAAAGATGGTCTCAAAAGTGAGCATAACCCTGTTGACATGAGTCTAATAATCATAAAAAATAGGTCAATACAAAAACTCAGGTTGTGAGTAACTATGATATATTTCTCAAAGCGCTGAAAATGGAATCTGTATTTGATGACAAAAACGACTTTCTAGATGTTGTATATTGGTTTAGGCAAGTTTTTGCCATTATAGTCGGTGTTGTCTGGGGCCTAGCTTCATTTACAGGATTTTTAGCAATCCTAATGTTCTTTGTAACAAATTTATGCTTCGTGTATGCATACGCTGCAGTTTATCAACGTGTTGATGAGGACGAATACGGTGGATTTGGGGAAATCATTAAAGAAGGTTTGATGACAGCCTTTGCATGTTTTATGGTATCCTGGATACTCACTTATGATTGTGCCCACGGAATAAATAACACAACTTGGTAGCGGATTGGTGCTATGTTTGTAATCTGTATTACTTTTTGTACAATATCTCGATCATTTTGTTCTAGAATATATTGTGTAGTGCCTAAACGTGTTCTCATGTTGACAAAATCAGCCAGAATATTAACTAGGTTCGTCTATTTTAGGTATGACTGATCAACACCCTATGTACATCATCAAAAAGCTCGGACACATTCCATCGGAATTACGGACTTCGTCCTACAAGGCTTCAGATGGATCTCTATGTTTCTGTACTGTGATAGACTTTAATCAGGGGCGCGAATCTGGTCTTCCTTTGGAATGTTGCTCATTTTGTTTGCTTGATAACAATATACAGCACAGCCCAGTTGTCCTGAATAGTAATTCACGCTTCCGCATTCTTTTGGGTAATGCTCCTGATACTACTCAGTATGGAAACCAGCAAACTTTGGGGCAGCTTTCTTTAAGAAGCTTAATAGAAAAAATTCTCTTTAATTGTGCGTCTGGAGACGTGTTCAATGTAGAGATAGGATCTGTTGAAAACTCTGAGAAACACAAGAATCCATCAGTGAGCAAATTTTGTCTGTTTCGTTATTTATGTATATATTCCCTTATGTTTTCTTACGTTTTGTAAAAAGCCTTCCAATATTTTAATCTTTTTAGAGTATGCATTAGCATCAGGTAAACTAAACAGGTTCTCTGCTTAATTAATGACCATTTGTTGAGTGATATTATCAGTACATGGTTACCGATCGTGAACTGCCAACGGTACAATGTACAAGTATGCTCATGAAATGTACTTTTTCCCTTGTGGTTAAAAGTACCTTTCATTATCGCTCAAGTGTTTTTAGTCGGTTCTTATTTTGAAGTATTCAGCTATTGTTGGTCAAACATAATTTTATATAATCACGATAAACATAGTCAGTCAGTCAGATCCAACGTAGAACTGTGTACATAAGTACATCAGTTCATGTTGCCATACCACATCAGCACAGAGAAGTAATCGTCAATTCAAATCCAATAGTAGAAGAGGTAGTAAGGGAATTAGAAATAATCGGAGAGGTTAGGATTAGAAGATACTACTCAAGAAGTATGATTCAGTGAGAAAAGTTTAGAGAGTCGAAACTAGAGGGGTTGAAGAATCCAGAAGATTAGCATTTGAGAGAACATAGAGAATAAATGCGCTGGCGCCATTGCAAACGATTTTGAGCCATGTCATTCAAGGTCTCTAACCATCGATTATTATCATCTCGCCGACCCCAACCAGGTAGTCGACAATTACCGACATGGCTAAGTCCACTCGTCAATGACTTCATGGATTTCTGCCATGTTTTGGTCTGGCCGCCCCTAACTTTCTTCCAACCTATTCCCACACTACAAAACAAGGCTCGACGAGGCAGCCGGTGGTTCGGCATACGCAACACATGTCCCAACCACCTCAACTGGTGAAGTTTCAATACTTCATCTATTGATCTGCCATTCTTACCTAGCACCCGATTCCTAATAACAGCGTTGCTCACTCGGCTGTCCCACGATATACGAGCAATGCTTCTTAAACATCTATGATCGAATACTAGTAACCTACGAACATCTTCTACTCTTAACGGCCATGTTTCACAGCCATAAAGTAAGACGGAGCGAACTACTGCGCAGTACACTTGTCCTTTAGTCAGCAAACGGATATCTCGCCTACGCCATAAGTGACGCAGGTTGGCAAAAGCCAATCGAGCCTTCTGTATCCGTGCTGAGATTTCGTCAGTCACCAGGCCATCGGCACTGATGAGACTCCCAAGATAAGTGAATCGGTCTACACGTTCGACTACTTCACTCCCTATCACTAGTTCAGGTGCCGATGCGACCCAGTCTTGAAGCAACATTTTGCATTTCGAGGGGGAAAACCGCATCCCGAACATGCTTGCATTGTTGCTTAGGGTAGTCAGAAGACTCTGCATTTTGTCAATGTCTTCACCAAGTAGGACACTGTCATCGGCATATTCTAAGTCAATAAGCGAGCCACCTGGTAGAAGGTCTACTCCTGAAAATTCAGATGAGCATAAGGTTATTTCTAGGAGCATGTCTATGATAAAATTAAACAAGAATGGAGAAAGTGGACATCCCTGAGGGACACCACTTGAAGTAGAGAATTCCGACGACAGTTCGCCATAAGCTCTCACTCGACCAGTGGTGTTCGAGGAGAGAGCTTATATAAGGTTAATGTACTTCTTTGGTACACCTTTCAATGACAGACACTGCCACAGAACCTCACGATCAACAGAGTCAAATGCCGCCTTAAGGTCTAGGAAAACAACAGTCGAAAACCAGACTGGTTTTCTCGAGTCTGCTCTTCACGAGCTTTCGTTAAGCGTCGAAGTATTATTGAGGCCAATATTTTAGATACTATATTAGTTAGACTTATTCCTCTGTGATTGTCACAAGAAGACTTTTGTCCTTTCTTATAGATTGGGACAATCAAGGATTGAGACCAGTGAGATGGGATTACGTCCAGTTCCCAGATTTTACCTAAGATCTCAGTCAATCTAGCTGCTAAAACTGGACCACCATCCCTGAATATCTCAGGGGTCAGTCTATCAGGACCTGCAGCTCGTCCTCGTTTCAGATTTCCTAACGCTTTCTCAACGTCATTAAGACTAGGGGGACTTACGTCGATTTGCCATTCAGGATGACTGGAGATCGTGGGTAACTGAAGAGTGGCTCGTGGCCAGTTGAACTGATCCTTAAAGTGTTCTGCCCATCGATCCAGTCTCCTGGATTGAGAATGGATAATAAGACCATCCTTTTCCGAGATAGTCTCACTCACATTCGGGTTCTTAATACCGGTTTCTTTAATAAGGCGGAAAAGTTGTCTAGTGTTGCCTATCGCCGCTGCCTTTTCCATCGCTTTTGCTTTCGCCACCCACCACTGTTCGCGGTCGTTACGCAGACTTTTTATAAGTCTGCGCCTAAGCTGACTACGCTCTTCATCATGCTCAGAGTCAGGTGGGATGCGTTTTCGAGCATCCATCAGTTCGGTGGATGCGGCTGAAATCCACGGCTTCATCCTAGCCTCATGGTTTACCTTCCTAGCAGATATCACTGCTGTTTCCACAGCCTTTTTGATATCATACCAACCTGCTTCTGGATGGGAATCGCTTGCATGGTTGCTTAACTCTCTTTCTAGTAGCTCCTGAAATATTTTCTTGGTTTGATTATCATTAAGTAAAACCCTAAGAGGCTTTCTTACGGTGTCTTTCCTACGTCCAGTAAGCCTTAAACAGATACGAGCTCGCACTAGAGCATGATCTGAATCCAAACATGTGCTCCAGAACGAGCGACAGTTTTCTATCGAACCCCTCCATCGGTGGCTGGTGGCGATGTGATCTAGTTGAGTCCAACGTTGAGACGACTTTGGAGGTCGCCAGGTCAACAGATGCTTTTCCTTATGCCTAAAGTTGGTGTTTGCTAAGAATAGGCGGTTATCTGAGCACAGTTGCAACAGACGGTCGCCATTATCTGTTCTTTCAGTCGCTACACCATAACATCCACCTAGGTGTCTCCTGCTCACTTAGTCTACCTACTTGAGCATTAAAGTCACCAGCCATTATTACTGTGTCAGAGCGCTTAACTTTTTGGAGGAGGTCCGAAAGCTTTCTGTAAAACTCATCTTTAACCTCGTCTGCACTGCAGTCAGTGGGGGCGTAGGCTGATATGACGAAGAGGCAACGGCGAGTGTCCCTATCCTTACGAGTCCTTACTGTCCCGTTTAGTCGGACAGCGCACAAACGACTATCTACTGGGATCCAGTCTAGGAGAGATAATTCTGCCCTAGGACTCAACGCTATGCCTACGCCAGCAAGACCCCTGGAAGCAGCATCAGGGCTACCGGATACCCGAAGAGTAAATCGAGCTGCTTCTTTATTTTGACAAGGTGGAATCAGGTTAATGACTTTACTAGGATCCTGTATGCGCGTTTCCGAGACGCAGCATACATCGATGGCACGAGTTTCTAAGGTCCTAGCTAATGATGCCTGTTGCCCTATTTGACACAATGTCCGTACATTAAAGGCTCCAATATGTAGTCTAGAACGGGGTTTCAAGAGACCAGGAACGACGTTTCGTGATCTCGCTTCGCCTGCATTAGCGGTGCAGTGAGAAAAGGGAGTGTGAGTAGAGTTAGTTGTAGAGAGAAGAGAGGTATGCTTTTGTGTCGGAAGGATTTGATTTTGACCAATTTGGTCTCGCGTGCTGTTACGGGTATGAGGGCGGTTGTCACTTCCCGGCTGCCCACACCGTGGAAGGTTGTTTCTTGAGGGACCTGAAAAGGAAGATGGATTAGTGTTGGTGCGTGACCGCAGAGCCCAAGGGACAACTGCTTGAGGCCGGTCACGCACGGCCTTTTTATGAAACGTTTTTTGAGGATTAGCTCCGTTCTTAAAGGCCCTTAGTGGGCACCCTTACCCAAGGAGATGGAAATCCGTGAGTTAGGGGGAGTGTGACATTTTTAGGGCCGACCTTTTCTAACCCTTCCTTCCTTGTGAGAAGGCAGCATCGCTGCAGATGCTGGTTGTCCGAGGGAAACACCTTACTGCTGTCACACCCCTCTGCAGTCTGCAGTACGACTTCGCCCTCAGACCTTGGGTAGCTGCTTTTAGTCTCATCGTTCTCCAATCGACCAGCCTGGCATGGTAGGACCTGCAGGAACATATGTTCCAGCCAGTATAGCTCGGTTGGGTCATCACGATAGGCAAGCCCGACCACCACGTCAAGGTAGCAGCTTCGGTCGGGACGATAAACATATGAAGTAGGTTAATAAGGTATTTTCTATAAAGAGCCACTTCCAACAATGTGTATAATCTACCCATATCTTCAGCTTTTAGTGTTTATATATTTCGGTCTTAGAGCAGTCAGTTCTACGTTGCCTGGCTAAGATAGTCATTCAATATAGAACTTTGTGCGTAGGCACATCAGTTCAAGTTGCCATACGACATTAGCACAAGGATGCAATTGTAGATCCAAATCCCGTAGTGATAGATGTAATAGAAGTATTATCAATAGTGCAAGACTAGGTACCGAAGATATCATTCATATTAGTATAATCCAGTGAGTCAGTCAGTCAGTTACAACGTAGAACTTAGTACATGAGTACATAAGTTCAGGTTGTCATACCGCATCAGCACAGAGACGCAGTTGTCACTTCAAATACCATAATGGCAGAGATAGCAGAAGTATTAGCAGTAATGGAGAAGATTAGGTTTCGAAGATATTATTCGAGAAGTATAATTCAGTGGGATCAATTTAGAAAGAGAAAAATGGAGATGATCAGTAATTCAAAATGTGAGAATTTCAGAGAACACAATGAATGAATGCACGTGCGTCATTGTAAACTAATTTAAACCATCGGTTACTATTGTCTCGCAGACCCTATCCAGGTTGTCTACATCTACCAACAGGACTATATCTAGTTGTCAGTGACTTCATGGGTTTGTGCCATGTTTTAGTTTGACCGCTCCCTCCACGACTCATCCTTCTCACATCCCTTTATCACGCTGCAGCGCTTATGCAAACGATTCGAGTTCACAAAACGTTATTCCTGGTCTCCTGAAACCCCGTACTAAATTACCTGTTGGAGCTTTTAACGTCAGGACATTGTGTAAACTAGCACAACAGGCTTTATTAGCCAGGACTTTGGAATCTCGCGCCATCAATTTATGCTGCGTCTCCGAAACGCATACAAGATCCTAGTAAAGTCACTGATTTAATTTCACCTTGTCAAAATAAAGAACCAGCTCGATTTACTCTTCGTTTAAATGGAAGCCCTAATGCTGCTTCTCGTGGCATTGAGGATGTAGGTACAGTGTTAAGTCCTAGGGCAAAATCGCTCTCTTTGATTGGATCCCGGTAGGCAGTCGCTTATGCGCTGTCCGACTAAACGGGACAGTAAGGACTTGGAAAGATAGGGACACTCGCCGTTGCCTCTTCGTCGTATCTACCTACGCTTCCACTGACTGCAGTCCAGACGAGGTAAAAGATGAGTTTCAGAGAAAGCTTTCTGACCTTCAAAAAGTTAATGGTAACAGTGGCTGGTGACTTCGAAGCTCATCTAGGTAAACTAAGTGAAACGGAAAGACACCTGTGTAGATCTAATGGTATTGCGGTTGCATGTATGCTCAGATAATCGCCTATGTCTAGCAAACACTAATTCTAAGCATAAGGAAAAACATCTCTTGACCTAGCGACCTCCAAAGCCGACCCAATGATGAGCCAAACTATATCACATCGCTATAAGCCATCGGTGGAGAGGCTCTATTGAAGACTGCTGCTCATTCTGGGCACGTCTAGATTCCGACCATGCTCTAGTGCGAGTGTGTTAGCGACTTACCGGACGTAGGAAAAGCACCGCAATCAACCTCTTAGGGTTCTATTTAATGAAAGCATAGCTAAGAATATATTTCAGGAACAATTAGAAAATCATTTGGGCAGCCATGTAAGTGATGCCCAACCGGAAACAGCTTGGAATGATATCCAAAAAGCTGTTTAAGCAGCAGCAATATCTGCTACTAAGGTAAACCATACGGTCAGGGAGAAGCGGTGGATTTCATTAGCATTTAGCAGACTGATGGATGCTTGAAAACTCATCTTGTCTGGTTCTGAGTACGATGAGGAGCGGAGTCACCTTAAGCGCAGGCTGATAAAAACCCTACGCCATGATGGTGAACAGTGATGGTTAACCAAGCGACGGCCACAGGTAACAGAAGACAACTATTCAGACTTGACGAGGCAACCGGTGTTAAGAACCCAAATGTAAGTAAGACTATTTCGGAAAAGGATGGTCTTATTATCCAGGAGATTGGATCGATAGGCGGAACACTTCAGTGATCAGTTCAAGTGGCCTTCAGTTGCCCACGATTCCCAGTCATCCTAAATAGTAAATCGACATAAGTCGTCCGACCCTTTGTGAAGTTGAGAAAGCTGTAGGAAATCTGGAGCGACGGAGAGCAGCAGGTCCTAATAGATTGGCCTCTGAGAATTTTAAGGATGGTGATCCAGTTTTAGCAGTTATATAGACCGAGATCTTCAGTAGAATTTGGGCACTGGACATAATCTGGTCTCAATCCCTGATTGTCCCGATTTGTAAGAAAGGACAAAAAGTCTTCTTTTGACAATCACAGAGGAATAAGTCTAACTAATATAGTTTCTAAATGGTTAGCCTCGATTATACTTAGGCGTCTAACTAGCGCTCGTAAAGAGCAGACTAGAGAAAACCAGGCTGGTTTTCGACCTGGACGTGGATGTATAGACCACATTTTCACACTACGACAGGTCCCGGAACACAGTCACACGTTCAGGCGTCCCACAATCGTAGTATTTCTCCACCTTAAGGCGGCATTCGACTCGGTGGATCGTGAGGTTCTGTGGCAGTGTCTGTCATTAAAAGGTGTACCAGAGAATTCCGTTAACCTAATACAGGCTCTCTACTCGAACACCACTGGTCGAGTGAGAGCTTATGGCGAACTGTTATTTGGATTCTCTACATCAAGTGGTGTCCTTCAGGGCTGTTGACCCTCCATTCTCGTTTAAGCTTGTCGTAGACATGCTTTTAGGGTTAACATTATCCTCGTCAGACTTTTCAGGAGTCGACTTTTTACCAGGAAAGTCGCTTACTGACCTAGAATATGCCGATGGCATAGTTCTATTCGGTGAAGACCCTGACAAAATGCAGTCTTCTGACTACCATAAGCAACAATCCAAGCATTTTCGGGATGCGGTTCTCACCCTCGAAGTAGGTGTATCCGAAGCATTGCTCGATTATCCTGGGGCAACCGTATAAGTAATGCTGTCGTTAGGAATCGAGTACTAGGTAGGGATGGCAAATCAATAGATGAAGTATTGAAACTTCATCAGTTGAAGTGGTTTCGCGGACCCCAACCAGGTGGCCTTCATCCACTAATATGACTCAGTTCAGTTGTCAGTGATTTCATGGATTTATGCCATGTTTTGGTCCGGCCTCCCCTAGCTTTCTTCCAACCTACACCTAAACCACAAAACATAACTCGTCGAGCAAGTCGGTGGTTGGGCATTTGTAACACATGTCCCAACCACCTCTACTGATAAGGCTTCACTACCTCATCTACTGATCTTCCGTCCCTGCCTAGTATTCGTTTTCTCACTATATCATTACTTAATCGGCTGTCGCAGGATAGCCTGTTTTTGTCTGCAGCTTGAATTCATGGAGTTAAGTAATAAACATTATTCCAATAACAAACGATATGCTGTCTTGAATGAGAATGTGATATTTTTGTATAAACGTCAGCCAAAAAATGTTACTTATTATTTTGTTTTTTTCTATGTTTAGAAGCCTTTTTTTAACTAGACCATCAGACGTAACTTGTTCAGTGATATAAATCTCTTGATGCAGACTTTGTTATTATTGATTTGTCAGTGAATTTTCCATTGTTCATACATAAGAAAACTTAATTAATATTCACGTGTTCTTAAAAGTGATAAAAACTATGTTTTTAACTGTAAAATATTTTTTTGTGACTGTAGAATTGATCGTTCGAGAAAGTGAAGACTAGAGTGACCAAGCAGCAATCGCTACCAAAATCAGTCAATCAGTCAACAGTAACGTAGGACTTTGTATGTACTTACATCTGTTGAAGATACTATAACACATTAGCATAGACAGATGCAATTTTCACTTCAAATCCAATAGAAGTAGTAGAGGTAGTAAAGGTATTAGTAGTAATCGGAGAGATTACGGTTCGAGGATGTGATTCAAGAAGTAGAATCTAGTGAAATAAACTTAAAATGATCAGGGTGATGAGAGTTCAGAAGGTTAGGATTTGAAAGAACACTTGAGCACTTGAGCCATTGTAAACGGTTTTAAGCCATGTCATTCGGGGTCTGTAACTATCAATTATTATCATCTCGCGGCCCGTAACCAGGGCAGTCGACATCTACTAACATGGCTCACAGTCCAGTTGTCAATGACTTCATGGATTTGTGCCATGGTTTGATTTGGCCTCCCCCCTAGTTACCAAAATACAGTTACACTGACAAAGATTATTAGTCACAAATAACCTAATATCTAAAAATAACACAACTAACCCGGAAAATCAGCTACTTTTCATCTTGGCAGAATAACTAATAAAAACGTGTAAAAGTTATGGTGAAATCAATATGTTTTCGATTTACACATACTGTGGTATAATAATTGATATGTAGTGTTATCTAAAACCATGAATTTCGAGAATAAACCATGCCAAATCTGGATAACCATTCTTAAAAACCTCAGGGGTAACCTATCAGGCCCCTCTGCTCTCCCTTGCCCTAGATTTCCTATAGCTTTTTCAACCTCTTTGATAGTTGGAGGACTTATATCAACTTGCCATTCAGATCGACTGGAAATTGTGGCTAACCGATGTGTTGCTGAAGGCCAGTTGAACTGCACCCTAAAGTGTTCTGCCCATCGATCCAATCTTCTGAGTTAAGAAGTCACAATGTGCTCATCGTTTTCGGGGATAGTCTCTCCAACAATCGGTGATAAAGGAATGAAAAAGCGGTTGATCGTGGAGATTAGAGAGTTATTAAGTGTAGGAAGCACTTAATTGTAACCAATACACTCTCGTATGCTGTTATAGGTATGGGGGTGGATATCACTTGCCGGCTCTCCACAACGTGGAAGGGTGCTTCTTGAGGAACCTGCAAACGAGAAACGATTAGCCTAGGTCTTAAAGACCTGGGACGTGACCGCAAAATCTTTTTTCCGGAAATTTTCTGCTTGTTAGCTCCGCTATTCAAATGGCCTTACCACTAGGGACGGAGATCCGTAGGTTAAGGTAAGGTGTGACATTTTAAGGGTCGACCTTTTCTATCACCTTCTTTCCTCTGTAGATGCTGGTTGTCCAAGAGAAACACCCCTTTACAGTCAGCAGCATTACTTTGCTCTCAAAACTTGAGTTGCTGCTTTTAGTTTTACTGTTCTCTAATAGACCTGCCTATTATGGTATGACCTAAAGAAACATATGTTCCAGCCAACACAGCTCGGTTGGGTTATCACAATAGGCAAGCCCGACCACAACACGAAGGTAGTAGCTACATATTGATTAGTGGGTATTGTTAATTGATTCTTCTACTACTTTGTAGACGTTCACAAGCTTCATTCAAAGTACGAAACCACATAGATATTGAAATAACTGAAGATTTATCTCCCGTTTTTTTCCATTTAGACGTTTAATTTATCATTACGTGTTGATTACGTACTTGTTCCACCTATTTGTGGTCATTCAACTACAACAGCTACAACTACAACAAATTCTAATAATACTGAACTAATGCAATCCGATCCAAGAGAAAATACTACAATGGATTGGAATCCTCACTTAACTATTCAATGGTTATATCGTAGTTGGTATTTAAAAGAACGAGGCTCTTGGTTAGTAAATCATCATTTGAAATATTTAACCCCCGCCTCTTCTTCAGACAATTCCAATGATCGTAACAAATTATTCCAATACATTTGGTCATCGGCTTTTGCATGTTATTCTAGAGCATTACAACTAGTTACACTAGCTTATTGGGCTGAAAAGACATGTATGCACAATGATGACAACGACGCGGACGCGGACGCGGATGCTTATGTTGATAATGACGACGTCGATGCTGATGGCGATGGTGATGCTTTGCCATCAATCAAAAAAACTGATGAAAATCATTCGAACTGTTGTGCAAATAATAAGATTACTACACACAATAATATACATTGGATTCAAATTGTATCAGGTGAAAAAAAATGCATAACTATTATGCGTAACAATGAAAATTTATTGACTAGTTCCGATGATTATATAGATTGGGATTGTTTTGGTAGTATAGATTATAAAACTATTATTCCATTACAATTTCAATCTTTACGTCTTATGTTCACGTAAGTAATTGAATTAAATTGTTGATTGATTGGTTAGTTGGTTTATGTAAAGTTTTCCTTTATATACAATGTACAACAATTCGATTTCATGTAATTTGGAGAAATAATACTATTAATAACTGTCATATACTGAACATGTAGACTGCCTCACTTATCTGGGGAGTCTCATTAGTGCCGATGGTCTGGCGACTGACGAAATTTCAGCTCGGATACAGAAGGCTCGATTGGCTTTTGACAACTTGCGTCACTTATGGCGTAGGCGAGATATCCGTTTGATGACTAAAGAACAAGTGTACTGTGCAGTAGTTCGCTCCGTCTTACTTTATGGCTGTGAAACGTGGCAAGTTAGAGTAGAAGATATACGATGGTTGCTGGTTTTCGATCATATGTCTCCCAAACATTGCTCGTACATCCTGGGACAACCGAGTGAGCAACGCTGTTATTAGGAAACGAGTTCTAGGTAAGAATGGCAGATCAGTAGATGAAGTAGTGAAACTTTTGTCAGTTGAGATGGTGGGGCATGTGTTACGTATGACTCACCACCGACTGCCTCGTCGAGCTTTGTTTTGTAGTGTAGGAATAGGTTGGAAGAAAGCTAGGGGCGGCCAAACCAAAACATGGCATAAATCCATGAAGTCGTTGACGAGTGGACTTAGCCATATCGGTAGTTGTCGACTACCTGGTTGGGGTCCGCGACATGATAATGATCGATGGTTAGAGACCTTGAATGACATGGCTCAAAATCGTTCGCAATGGCGCCGGTGCATTTATTCTTTGTGTTCTCTCAAATTCTAATCTTCTGTATTCTTCAATCCCTCTAGTTTTGACTTTCTAAACTTTTCTCACTGAATCATACTTCTTGAATAATATCTTCTAATCCTAACCTCTCCGATTACTTCTAATACCTTTACTACCTCTTCTACTATTGGATTTGAATTGACAATTACATCTCTGTGCTTTCGTGGTATGGCAACATGAACTGATGTACTTACGTACGAAGTTCTACGTTGCATCTGACTGACTATACTGAACATGTAGCTTAAGTAACAGAGTTTATGATCCACAAATTGAGTACAAGCTTATTTAATTGTTTATGCTTGTTACCCCAAGTGTATCATAGGCCACCGACCAGCATTCTTCAACTTACTCTGTTATCGGCCTTCCTTTCTAGTTCTGACCAATCGTTGTTCATTCTTCTCATATCTGTCTCAGTTTCTTGGCGTAATGTGTGTACTTTGATCTTTGTCTTTTCCTTTTGGTATTTGAGATTCCAACTGAGGGCTTGTCTTGTGATGCATATGGGTGCTTTCTTCAATGTTTTTCCTGTCCACTTTTAGCGCTTCTTCCTGATTTGTTCCTCAGCTGGAATCCGGTTTGTTCTTTCCCAAAGCAGGTTGCTGCTGATGGTGTCTGGCCAGCGAATCCGAAGTATTTTGCGTAGACAACTGTTAACAAACACTTGTCTTACACCTGTCTAGACTTTACTTGAATCTGTGAGCTGTTCTGCATGCAATATCTTGCAGTTTAATCCATCTGACAAATTTCACATGATATTGACTATCTTCTCAGCTACGCCGTAGTATCAAGAAAGCCTCCAATGTGTCATCCTATCCACGCTATCAAATACTTTATCGTAATCAATGAAGTTGATGTACAGTGATGAGCTCTATCCGCAATGATCCGTAATTTTGCCATTTGGTTGGGACACGATCAGTTCCTACGAAATCCAGCCAGCTGATCTACTAGTTGGGCGTCTTTGGAGTCCTTCATTCCATTCAACAACAAACTTTTGAAGACTTTCTATGGTGATGATGTTACATTGATGCTTCTGTAGTTTTCAAACTTACTGAGATCGCCTTTCTTTGGTGTCTTGATCAGGTGTCCTTCTTTTCAGTCCGTTGACATACCAAATTTTTCTGAAGAGAATGTGAAGCATCCGTCTGCTTCCAGTGCATCAGTTTTAATGTTGTCTGGTTCTGCTGCTTCGCTACTCTTGATTTGTCCAATGGTCATGTTGATCTTTGAATTGTTGGTGGGATATCATTGATTAGGAGGTCCGTGGGTGCTACTTCGACATTAGTTGAGTTTAGGTGCTGATACAAGCCAATCCTCAAGCAGTACTTTGCCATTTTGACGGGGAAAATCGCATCTCAAACGTGCTTGCATTGTTACTTAAGGTAGTCCGAAGACTGCATTTTGTCATCTTCACCGAATAGAACTATGTCATGAGCATACTGTAAGTCAGCAAGCGTGTCTCTCGGTAGAAGGTCCACTCCTGGAAAGTCAGACGGTGAAAATGTTAGCGCTAAACGCATATCAACGACAAAGTTAGACAAGAATGGGGAGAGTGAACAGTGGTGTTTAGCGAAAGCGATTGAGATGAAAAAGGCAGCGGCGATAGGCAACAGTAGACAACTATTCAAACTTATCAAGGAAACCGGTAGTAGAAATCTGAATTTAAGTGAATCTATTTCGAAAAAAGGATGGTTTTATTATTCATTCTGATTACAGGAGATTGGATCGATGGGCATAACACTTTAGGGATCAGTTAAACTGCCTTCAGCCACGCTTCGGTTACCCACGATCTCCAGTTTTCTTGAGTGTCAAACCGTTGTAGGTCCTCGGACTCTTAATGAAGTTTAAAAGGTTATAGGAAATGTAAGGAAAGGAAGAGCGACGGGCCTTGAGGGATTGATCCCTGAGGTTTTTAAGAATGGTGGCCCAGTTTTAAGAGTTAGATTGACAATCACAGGGGAATCAGTCTAACCAAAATAGCCTCCATACTACTCGGCCGCCTAACTGGAGTTCATGAATAGCAGAATCGAGAAAACCAATCTGGTTTCAGACCTGGACGTGGCTACATAGACCAGATGTTCACACTATAACAAGTCCTGGAACACAGGCACATAATTCGACGTCCAACAATAGTTGTCTTGTTGGACCTTGAAGCAGTATTTGATTTTGTCGATCGTGAGGTTCTATGGAAGTGTTTGTCAATAAAAGGTGTACCAGCAAAGTACGTTAACCTTGTACAGGCTGTCCACTCGAGTACAACTGGTTGAGTGAGATCTAATGGCGAACTGTCATTGGAATTAATTACGTTGAATAGTGTTCGTCAGGTCTTCCCACTTTATCCATTCCTAATTAACTTTGTCATTGACATGCTTTTAGAGATCACCATCATCGTTTGACTGTAAAGGAGTTGACCTTCGCTATCAGGAAACTAGCTTGTCGAAGACATAGTATTAATTTTCATGTACATTAATCACTAAGCCGAATCGGGAAAAAAAATTACTATGAACATTTACTCTCTCTCCCTCTTTCTTCGCGTAGGACAAATTATCGTTTATGTAAAATTAACTTCATCGTTGCATTGGCTCTCCTTTTTGTCTTCCGAATTTCTCTCTTTAAGTCTTCTTTCAAATATTGCCTTATGTCAATTGAAAATTGGATCGAATGAATATTGTGCACGAAATTATTCTTATGCTCTATATCTTCTATCATGTCACTTCCCGGCTACCCACACCGTGGGTGTTTTTTGAGAAACCTGAAAAGGAAGGTAGATTAGCATTGGTCTTTGTGACCTGGAAGCGTGACCGCAGAGCCCAAGGGACAACTGCTTGAGGCCGGTCACGCACGGCCTTTTTATGAGGAGTTTTTAAAGTGTTAGCTCCATTCTTATTTAAAAGGCCATACCGCTGGAGACGGAAATCCGTGAGGTTTGACATTTTCATGGTTGACCTTTTCTAACCCCTTCCTTCTTTGTGAGAAGGCAGCATAGCTGCAAACGTGGGTTGTCTGAGGCAAACACCCTACTTCTGTCACACTCCCATACAACCGACAGTCCGTGTCAACCTACAGACCTTTAGTTGCTGCTTTTTTGTCTCACTGTTCTCGAAATGGTCTGCCTGGCATGCTAGAACCTACAGGAACATATGTTCCAGCCAATATAGTTCGGTTGGGTCATCACGATAGGCAAGCTCGGCCACCACGTCAAGGTAGTGGCTACGGTCGGGATGCGATTCTACCTCTTTCAAATGCAATAAGTTAATTCAAGATGCATTGGTTTGCGTAGATTTCTGCCATATTAATTCGGAACAATAATCTGTACAATAATCACTAAGGATGGCAGATCAATAGATGAAGTATTGAAGCTTCATGAGTCGAGGTGGTTGGGACATGTGTTACGTATGGCTAAACACCGACTGCCTCGACGAGCTATGTTTTGCAGTGTAGGAGTAGATTGGAAGAAAGCTAGGCGTGGCAATACCAAAACATGGCGGAAATACATCAAGTCACTGACAAGTGGACTGAGTCATGTTGGTAGATATTGACTACCTGGTTGGGGTCCGCGAGACGAAAGTCACTGATGTTTAGAGACCTTGAACGACATGGTTCGAAATCGTTTGCATTGGCGCAAGTGCATCCATTCGTTGTGCTCTCTTAAATCCCAATCTTCTGTATTCGTCAGCACCTCCACCTTTGTCTTTCTTCTAACCTTATCTCACTGAATTATGCTTCTTGATATAATATCTTCAAACCCTAGTCTTCTTCATTACCATTAATATCTGTTCCAAATTTCTCTCTTCTAGTCTTCTATCCAATATTGCTTTATGTCAATTGAAAATTGGATCCAACGACTATTGTGCACGTAATTGTTCACATGCTTTATATTTGCTATCATGTCAATTACCAAATTCATTTACTAACAATCATCATTCATCTACCAATACTACTACTACAGCTTCAAGTGATGATTATTATCATCAAGATATTATTAATGCGAAATTATTTTCACAAGATAAATTACAATACTATGCAATGCATTTTCAAATTACTTATTATGATATACATAAATTATTATTTCGTCGTGCACAAGCTTATTTTAATCAAGGTAAAATGGATGAAGCCAGAAATGATTTGATAATATGTAATGAATTAATGACTAATCAATTAATCCGATTACAAAATACTACTACTACTACTACTTATAATAATAACAGTAGTATTGACAGTAATAACAACAATAATAATGATAATAACAGTAATAATAGTAATAATGAATCACAAGAGAATAACAATCAAAAGCCATTAACTATGGAAAACAATGATGATCATTATAAACAAATGAAAGCAGCTTTACAAGCTAGTAAAAATTTATTAATCAAAGTGAATGATCGTCTGACACAAGATGAAGCGGTATTACTTGCTCGGCTAAGAAGACGAACACAAGTAAATTAATGTGTGTGTGTGTGTGTGTGTGTGTGTGTTATTTATTACTAACAACTGCTGTATGTTGTGTAATTTGTTTTTTTTCTCTTTGTTCAATGTGGTGTGTATTGCTAGACTTTATTTATATTTATTGAACAAACGAACAAAAACAAAACCATCTTGATTTTTAAAGGTATTGATTTGATTGGATTGTGATCCATTTGGACTGGTGTGTTTTTATGGCTATGATGAAGGTGGGTGTTACTTCTTGGCTGTCTGCACTGGGTTCTGCTTGTCAGAAAGTGAGGGGTGGGGGTGCATCGGTCTTGTGACTTCTGAAGGAATTCGGCTTTCATTATGAGACGTCATGATTGTTCTAGATGAAGACCTGACAGAGAGACAGACAGATACAACGTAGAAGTTCGTACGTAAGTACATCAGTTCAGGTTGCCATACCACAACATCACGGAGACGCAACTGTCAGTTCGAGTCCAAGAGGGATAGAGACAGTAGAAGTATTCGTAGTAAGGAGTGAAGATATGATTCGAAAAGTATAATTCAGTGAGATAAATTTAGAAAGAGAAAGGTAAACATTATGAGGAATTCAGAAGGTTAGAATTTAGAAAGAACATAAAGAGTGGATGCACCTGAGCCATGTCGTTCAAGGTCTTTAACCATTGGTGACTATCGTCTCACGGCCAACCAGGTAGCCTACATCTTGCAACATGACTCAGTCCACTTGTCAGTGACTAGATGAAGACCTTGTTTGGTCTGAATTAGTTTTTCTTGCTGGCGTTTGTTTTGGCAAGTTAGTCTTTTGCGGTATAGGTTCGCCTATCCCAACCCTTATCCTTTATTCCGGGCTTAGGACCGACAGTGGCCCCGTAGGGCCTACAGACAGAGTTTAATTGATTGACTGTTTGATAATTTGCATGACCTATAGTGGCGTTCGAAGAAGTACTCACTGACATTTGTCAACAATGTGAATTGATCAGTACTGAGGTTATAATATATGTAGTACTAACTAATTTGGAGATAAGATGTTGTTTGGTGATTGAGGTGACTTTTATGTACGTCACATTTGCTCGTCGTCTACCTCAATAATGACTAAAGTGAGACTTGTTTTGGGAAAAAAACATTCAGACGTGGACACACCGAAAGATTTTGTTAATTTTATAGAATAATTGACTGTCAGTCTAAAGCGTGTTAATTTTGATGGAAACCTTTTTATTTTGTCTTTTAAAATCTCCAAACTGGCCGTTAAGAGTAGAGGACTTTGGTAGGTTACTAGTCTTCAATCATCGATGTCTCTGAAGCATTGCTCGTGTATCCTGGGACAACTGTATAAGCAATGCTGTCATTAGGAAACGAGTTCTAGGTAGGGATGGCAAATCCGTAGATGAAGTATTGAAACTTCATGAGTCCAAGTGGTTTGGACATGTGCTACGTATGCCCAACCTCCGACTGCCTCGACGAGCTATGTGTTGTGGTGTAGGAGTAGGTTGGAAGAAAGCTAGTGGCGGCCAAACCAAAACATGGCAGAAATGCATGAAGTCACTGACAAGTGAACTGAGTCATGTTGGTAGTTGTAGACTACCTGGTTGGGGTTGGCGAGACTAAAGTCACCGATGGTTAGAGACCTTGAACGACATGGCTTAGAATCATATCTATCTTTCTCCTTCTAAATTTATCTCACTGAATTATACCTCTCGAATCATATCTTCACTCCCTGATCTTCTCCATTACTGCTAATACTTCTATTATTGCTATCACTCTTGGATTTGAACTGATAGTTGCGTCTTTGTGCTGATGTAGTATGGCAACCTGAACTGATGTACATACGCATGAAGTTCTCCGTTGTATTTGTATCTGTCTAAAATTATTAAGATCAGTAGAAGTTAGAAAAATAATTTGTTACCATGATTTGAAGTGATTCGCTTTAGGTTAGCTGAAAATTGAGTTTTAAAACAGGTTATAGTACCTTCACATACATTCGAATTTATTAAGCTCTTTTGATTAACCTATTTAAGTGAGTCTTTTGTATAGAAATAACTTATCTGTACCATTGTGCTTTTATTAATGTTGGGTTTATATGAGCAGGTAATCATTGAACATCGCTTACCGCCTATGTGCATATTCATTCTACTGGCTTTAATATTGGCCTCTTAATAATCCTATTAATACGTTCGCTAACTCACTCGTTTGCCTGCTTGCCCCTTCGGCACACGCATACTGATTTTTGCTTTGTGTGCCTGCGGTTTTGGTGGTCTGTTTATAGTGCGAGAAATAAACACATTCAATGCTTCGTAAGACTCTTTTGATGAGGCGTTATTCATTAATGCCTGTCCGGACGAGCCGTATACGATATTCTAAAATACCAACCACCACAAAACTAGTGAGGCACCGACCTTTATTTCAAGGTATATAGTTTATGTCCCTTTATATAATTCTGTCACTCAACTACCTGGTTGGGGTCCGCGAGATGATGATAATCGATGGTTAGAGACCTTGAATGACATGGCTCAAAATCGTTCGCAATGGCGCCGGTGCATTTATTCTTTGTGTTCTCTCAAATCCTAATCTTCTGGATTCTTCAACACCTCTAGTTTTGACTTTCTAAACTTTTCTGAGTCAGAATTTTTGAAGAATATCTTCTAATCCTAACCTCTTTGATTACTTCTAATACCCTTACTACTTCTTCTACTATTATGGGATTTGAATTGACAATTATATCTGTGTGCTGATGTGGTATGGCAACATGAACTGATGTACTTACGTACGAAGTTCTACGTTGCATCTGACTGACTGACTATTTACTTATTTGATAATCATTTGCAAATTAAATCAATACATGTTATCCCTTACTTACGCCTGTTACCCCTAAAAGTAGCTGTCGAACAGTACTCTCCAGTCTACTCCGTCATTGGCTTGCCTTTCCGGTTCTGTTTTCTATTTTTGTTCATTCTTCCCATCCCACATTGTTCGAAAATTCCATGTTGCCAGAAGGGACATCGGCTTCATGACTTCCCAAGGAATTCGGCTTTCAGCATGATACGTTATAATTCTTCTGAAAGAAGACCTTCTAACTCTCAGGACAGAGTTAGAATGGTTTGAATTATTTTTTCTGGTTAGCGTTTTTTTTAGCGAGTTAGCTTTCCATGGGATTGGATCGCCAACCCCACTTCTCGTCTTTTATCCGGGCTTACGACTGGCAGTAGTCTCGGAAGGGGCCCCAGGCAGAATTTCACATGTTATCCCTAATTCAGAATAATTAAAATTGTCTATTATGTTACACTTCACTAGCTCCCCGAATCAGTTCTCTTCAAAATAGTCAATAATGAAACGATTTGATTTTGACCAATTTGGTCTCGTGTGCTGGTACGGGTATGAGGGCGGTTGTCACTTCCCGGCTGCCCACACCGTTGAAGGTTGTTTCTTGAGGGACCTGAAAAGGAAGATAGACTAGTGTTGGTCTTAGAGACCTGGGTGCGTGACCGCAGAGCCCAAGGGACAACTGCTTGAGGCCGGCCACGCACGGCCTTTTGATGAGAAGTTTTTTTGAGTGTTAGCTCCGCTCTTGAAAGCCCTTAGTGGGCACCCTTACCGCCGGAGACGAAAGTCCATGAGGTAGGGTGAGGTGTGACATTTTTAGGGTCGACCTTTTCTAACCCTTCCTTCCTTGTGAGAAGGCAGCATCGCTGCAGATGCTGGTTGTCTGAGGGAAACACCTTACTGCTGTCACACCCTTCTGCAGTCAGCAGTACGACTTCGCCCTCAGACCTTGAGTAGCTGCTTTTAGTCTCATCGTTCTCCAATCGACCTGCCTGGCATGGTAGAACCTTCAGGAACATATGTTCCAGCCAATATAGCTCGGTTGGGTCATGACGCTAGGCAAGCCCGACCATCACGTCAAGGTAGCAGCTTCGGTCGGGAGTCAATAATGAAAAGTAATATAGGGAGAGCAAGTAGATATTAGTTTGAAGTCATTTCTTCTAACAAATCCAATGAATAGGTCTTATTTATTATGACTGAGAAAAAAAAAATACAAACAAGTTATTCAAATAACTGTTCTATTATTATAAACAATCAATCAACTCCGTTTAAATGTATACAAGAATGTTTTACACTTTTGTAGGGTATTATTTTACAGCTTAGTTCCAATACAGTCAATTTTCATAGTACAGTTAAATCATGAAATATTACATTTGTAAAAAGGAAGAATTTCTGTTCACGATTTAATTGACTATCGTCTACTACTATACACGCATAACCATAACACTAAAAAAAATGAAAGAGATAGAATTTGAACAAATTGAACACCTATACTGCATATAAGAAGAATATCAAAACCAAATTGGATTATAGATACTTTGGTATAATACATAATAATAATTATTTACTTCGAGTTAAGTGTATATAGTGATTTATTAAACTGCTTATTAGTGAAAAAGAATTTAAACTATGGGTAGTCCCTCTCTTGGCAGTGTCTGTCATTAAAAGGTGTATCAAAGAAGTACATTAACCTTTTATGCAAGCTCTCTACTCGAACACTACCGTTCGAGGGAGAGCTTATAGAGCTAACTGCCACTGGAATTCTTTACTTGTTCGTCAGGGCTATCCACTCTTTCAATTCCTGTCTAACTTTGTCGTAGATATGCTTTTAGAGTTAACATTATCAGTCAACTGACTTTTCAGGAGTGGACCTTTTACCAGGAGACACGCTTGTTGACTTATGATATGCTGATGACATAGTTCGATTCAGTGAAGACGCTGACAAAATGCAGTCTTCTGACTACGCTAAGCAGTGAAGTAGTCGGGCGTGTAAACCACTTCACGTCATCAGTGCTGATGGACTGGTGACTGACAAAATCTCAGCTCGGATACAGAAGGCTCGATTGGCTTTTGCCAACCTGCGTCATTTATGGCGTAGGCGAGATATCCGTTCGCTAACCAAAGGACGGGTGTACTGCGCAGCAGTTCGCTCCGTTCTCCTATATGGATGTGAAACATGGCCGTTAAGAGTAGAAGATGTTCGTAGGTTACTAGTATTCGATCATAGATAATAAGGAAGTATTGTTCGTATACCATGGGACAACCGAGTAAGCAATGCTGTTGTTAGGAAACGGGTGCTAGGTAAGGATGACAAATCAATAGATGAAGCATTGAAACTTCATCATTTGAGGTGGTTGGGACATGTGTTACGAATGCCTAACCACCGACTGCCTCGACGAGCTATGTTTTGTGGTGTAGGAGTAGGTTGGAAGAAAGCTAGGGGCGGCCAAACCAAAACATGGCAGAAATCCATGAGGTCACTGACTAGTGGACTGAGTCATGTTGGTAGATGTAGACTACTTGTTTAGAGCCCGCGAGATGATAATAATCGGTAGTTAGAGACCCTGAATGACATGGCTCAAAATCGTTTGCAATGACGCAGGTGCATCCATTCGCTGTGCTCTCTCAAATCCTAATCTTCTGAATTCGTCAGCACCTCTACCTTTGTCTCTCCTAACCTTATCTCAATCACTGAATTATACTTCTTGAATAATATCTTCAAACCCTACTAGTCTTCTTTATTACCATTAATACCTCTATTATCTCTACCACTATGGGATTTGAACTGACATCTGCGTCTTTGTGCTAATGTGTTATGGCAACATGAACTTATGTACATACGTACGAAGTTCTACGTTGCAACTGACTGACTCACGTACATCTAAATCTGTTTACATTTAATTAAGCCCTTTTTTATTAACTCATTTAATAGACAGAGTCATTTGTTTAGAAACAACTTATCTACACCACTGTACTATGATTATCGCTGTGCTTATATATGAATTATGTATGCTTAAGCATTGCTTACTGCTTATACACATATATTTATTCTACCCGCTTTAATGTTAGCTGCTTAAATAAACCGATAACTCATTCTATTTTCCTATGTATATTAATATGAATATTGTAATCCTACTAACTGGCTCTTTATTATTTGCATATCATTTTCACTTTGTGTACCTGCGTTTTAATGATTTGTGTGTGAGATGCCATAGTAAACGTGTAATCAACGACTTGTATTTGTCTTCTGACTTGGGCAGTATACGGAAGTCTAAGAATAAACCGAATACTGACTGCTACAGAACTGCTGAGCACTCACACCTACCCACATATGGTTATAAAATAAAAAATAAAGAATATTACAAACTATTGTTTGCTGTATATACTACTAATAAAATTAATCTTACTTTATATTCAATATTTCCACGTTTGTAAACTTTATTCACTGAAATAATACGATTTTTTGGATTGTATAGAGTACCTTTTCGAGCATAATAAATATTAATTGTTTGACCTATAATGATATTTTGACATGACCTATAACAAGAAAAAAGAAGTCAAAATGAAAGAAAATAACGGTTCCAGTCAATTATTGTTGTTACGCGTGCACTTAACCACGTCAACGTGATATGCTCGAACTATTACGAGTTTGTCTTAGTCTGAATACGAGAGCAAGGATCGAGGATCCGGCGACACGACTTGCTACTCAAATCCCAACCCCCATATTGAGTAAAAGTAGGAAGACTTGATATGAAGTAGAACCTTTCATTCTACAAGCATCCAGAAAGTACGAGGTCCGAGTCCAGAAGAGAATCAGGATCCGGGACCGGGTCCTGGTCATAAAACGTTACAGATAATGCGTATTTATACATTTTGGTCGAATAGGAAACAGCATCGAAGTCTGTGACATTGACAGTTAAGACGACCAATAGGAAGCAAACATTTAAAGTGACATTGATAGTCAGGACAACCAATAAGAAATAACATTGGAGCACGTGACATTGATATCTAGGACGACCATATAATTGGCTAGTAGGAATTAACCAGTAAGAATTGGCCAATAATAATATTGGATGAATATCCTAACACCTCCCTCTAAAGAAATTGAAGCGACACACGACAGTTTACTTGGATCTGTACTGTTGTTTGCTGCTCTCGAGGAGGATATTTCTGGGACGGAGATGATGACCAGTCTTGGGTACTTCTAAGCGGGTTGGCTTCTTCTCATATGCTTGATGGGACATCTGCTAATGTTAGCTGTTTGAACCAATCCAACAGATTGACTTTAGATCGACTATCGGATTGAGCTGAAGTGAGGTGGGCTGGATGTAGCAGGGGGCACAGCTACTCTTGTTAGTTGACAGATACAATACACAGCGTCAGACTGACTTGATCCACCATAGTCGTGTCACGATTCAGCTTGGTATCCATCAACATTTTCAATAGTTCAGCTGCTGCTCGGGTAATGATTCAAGTCTCAACGGATCAATGTGATCGTATCCTAACAATTATCTAGTAACATTTTTAACTGATATATAAAATCACTCATATAATACACACTAGTGATAAATGTTTTCTTCAATTTTATACAGCAAATAGAATAATCTTCAAACTATGATCAAAATGAAGTTGGATTTACTGAAAATTGTTTGCTCCTTTGTTTTTGTACTGCTGAGCTGAAGAAACGATTTTTTCTTTCTGAACTGTCGAGTTCTGTGAACAGTAGCTACGCCATGACATTTCACTGTTCAATTTATTATTATAATCAACTGGTTTCTGTTACACAATACCTGATTGAAGTCTGTCTGTCTATCTATCAAGTTATTGATTTTTTCAAACAACCTTTTTTTATTCTTAAACAGTCCTAGTTTTTTTGTTCAGAAATCTACTTTGTTCACTTATCACAAATAAAATTGAAGTGTGTAATCAAGTTTCCATTGGTTATTCTTTGTCAAGAACTAACTAACCAACACCTTCTTCAATGTTTATTGCAGTCAAGCATGCGCTGATGCTGTTGATTGATGTTTTTATTCAATGTGCTTTTGCTCGCCTTTTTATTACTTCCAGTAACATTGTAAATATTTTTTATACAGTTATAATTCGAAACCAGGACTTTTAGTCTTGCTCATGAACGCCTTACCCCTGGACCACTGAATCGGCACCTAACGGTGTTATTGTCTAACTTCAATCGATTCACGGAGTTGCGAAACCTGATACATTGTCTTCAGTAGTTACTACTGTCTATGAAGTGCCTCCACATATATTCGAGTTCGCTTACATTTAATTTGGTTAAGCCCTTTCGATTAATTTATTTAACCAAGCCATTTGTATTGCAACAATTTATATGTACCATTCGTTCTTATTATTGTCTGATTTGTATGATGAGCTCACATGACGTGTCTCACTTGTCGTTTGACCTTGTCAACCATTCCTCGCTTTTATTCATGTGTGTGCATGCCTATCGCGTTGGTCACATGTCTGTCTTATTATGGTTTATTCTTAGTCATGCCGTATCTCTTTGAGTTGGCTCACTAGCCTTCTCCACATCGCTTCCTTCGCCCATTCGTTCGCATTGTAATCCTAGGAGTTGGCTCATTAGCCTTCTCCAATGCGCTTCGCCCATTCATTCGTTTTATCCGCTGCTTCTCCAAATCGCTTCATACGATTCGCCTAAGTCGCTCATTCGCTCGCCAGTGTACACTAATGGTGAGCCCGCCGCAGAAATGGGCCACCACATCTACACCCGAACAGGTTGAACTTCATTGGTCACGACTTCTCACTAGACACTAGGAGAAGATTACTCACAGAGCTAGTCACTAGTGAACACAGATAATTAATTGCATTACGGACTTGTGAAGATTGTTAAAGTATACACATTTGAGAAATCATAAATCGATCAATGTTATACCATCATTAGGAACCTGGAAGCACTGGACGGCATTAACACTGTTAGATACCGGCTCAGTGGTCCAAGAGGTTAGGCGTCCGCGTGCATGCGCACTGCCACTGATGAGTCGTCCCGTACCTGGATGAAACGGCTGTCTAGTGATTCCACCTTTCTAATGGTGGTCTATTATTGATTTGTTCGTGATTTCAATTATGCAACTTGACAATCTACACAACTCCGTAAAACAGTTATTAATTGTTAACTTTTTGTAATTGAATGAAATTACGCGAGCCATACAATTTGATATCATCCTTCATATTGTAATAGGACTTGGCTTTTTATCATAAGAATTATATTCGTATCTATGTTGATTCGATATATGTTATGTAGTTTCTGACTCTCTGGATAACCTGTTTGATTCAATCGCTTAGTATTGTATTCCGATTGTAGTTTGGTCAATGATCTAAGTGTCTCCGATATCTTGAGATTTTTATCAGGGCGGAGATGTCAGAATGGCATTATGGAACATGTCTTGGACTGTGAAATTGGTTGTGTAAGTTTCCATCCCCTTGGAATAGGAGGAGCATCACTTCTGTTTAGACACTGACAGTTACATTTTGCTAATAGGCGGCCAGCTGGCACGATTCCTGTCCGACTGCTACTTCCTTGATAAATGTCAACTTTATTGTCAATGACACTAGTGTTTAGTGTTTTACGTGTTAGGGTTATGTAGGTAGTACTTATCTCTTTCTTAGTCTACTACCATTGATGGTAGTAGGTTGGAGTCAGCGGAGTGTGGGCATTTTCATACAAGTAGTAATAATAGTTGACGTTTCAAGCTATGTAATTTTTGCAAGGTAGAGAAAGTGACAAAAAGTTCACTGAAAAACTTAGTTTTACTTACCAAGATTTTGTCCCATTCGAAAAAACTATCTTATTATTTTGTTTCGCATCGACTATATCCAATTTAATCCAATCTGTCATACGCTTATTATCTGCATTACCCCATATGCCAATATGAGTAATAGGTGGTTTATTGAGATTTAATAATAGGCGAATAACTTGTTCCAATGGATCACAATTTGTATAATTATACTCTTGCCATGGCTTAAGTCTTTAGAAAAGAAAAACAGAATGACAATATGAAATAAGTGTGTAATTGTTTCTTTTTGTTTCCAATTAGATCGTCATCAGGCTGCTTTACTCTAATATACATGAATATTTATATGAAAATGTTAAAACCAGTCAAGGCAATTTGAGTGATAATTACAATGAAATGAAAAAGATTACGCCACTACATATAATAGCGAAAAGTTCAAGTAGATAGTAGGAAGACAGGTGTACTGGTAGTAGTAAGAAAATTATAAAATATGATAACTAAAGTTTTATCAATAGTAGGTCAAAGGTGGATGAATAGAATTCAAGCAATCATCACAAAACATCAAAAACATTACGTAATAAGCAAATGCGTAAAAATAAAATAAATAATTTAATGTCCATCGTTAGTTACGTCATATCCGGCCGCGGAAGAGATAGGGGTGTCACGAATTTCTTCTGAATGTACGTATTCCTATGGCTTATGCAATGTGTAGGAGACGGGATCGAACTCCGTTGGGAAATGATGGAGGCATACGATAGATCACCCGAAAAGATCTAAATTTATCTACAATGTGACCACTCACTATCTACCAGGTGTGCTAAGATAGAACTGCGTATTGTTTCTGACTGACCCTTCGTAAACCATGCTGGGAGAAGCTCACTCATTCGTTGGGTAAGTTGCATGGAAGTACGCCCGATATAGCTATCTCCACTGGAGCAGCTGAATTTGTAAATGCACATAGAGGAGGCCAACTCAGGTAACTTATCCATCGTTCGGATAGACATCGCTGGTCGACTGGAGCAAGTCAATGCAAGTTTGGCAGCGTTGAATGTTCTGGTAATTACTGTTTATAATCTGTCCTGTAGAGTATCGCAGGCCACATCTCAGTTGAATTGTAGCTTCATTGGGCGGTCGAACTTTAGCCTATTATATGCAGTTACGTAATTTTTTTCATTTCATTGTGATTATCACTCAAATTGCCTTGATTGGTTTAACATTTTCATATGAAAATATTCATGTATATTAGAGTAAAGCAGCCTGATGACGATCTAATCGAAAACAATAATATTGTTCGCTTATATGTGTTGTTCTAATTTTCACTATGGGAATCTTTAATATTCTCCTTGTTTTGCACAAACTATTTTATAATTATCAATAAAATAACTAATTTAAACTGATTGATTGTTGAGATGAAGTTGGAGATGATTTTTATTGGTGAAATTATCGATTGTAAGACTGAATCATCTAAGTAGGTGAGTGGGGGTAGAAGACTGCTTATCTGGTTGATGTGTTCTGTGTGATTATTGGCAGCAGTAGGAAGGATTTGATTATGACCAACTTGGTCTTGTGTGCTGTTACGGGTATATAAGTGCGGATATCTCTTCTTGACTATTCACACCGGGGAAGTGTTTCTTGAGGAACCTAAAAAAGGAAGTTCGTTTAGTGTTGGACCTGGAAAAGTGACCGCATAGGGACCAACTGCTTGAGGCCGGCCACACCCGCCCTTTTTTATGAGAAGTTTTTAAAGTGTTAGCTTCTCTCTTCAGTTGGTCTTACTGTCGGAGAGGGAAATCAGTGAAGTACAGTGAGGTAAGATATCTTTAGAGTCCTAATTTTCTCATACCTTTCTTCCATTGTGAGGAGGTAGCATCGCTTCAGATGCCGATTGTCTGAGGGAAACACCTTACCGCTGTCATATCCCTCTACAGTCAGCAGTACGACTTCGCCCTCAGACCTTGAGTAGCTGCTTTTAGTCTCATCGTTCTCCAATCGACCTGCCTGGCATCGTAGAACCTTCAGGAACATATGTTCCAGCGAATATAGCTCGGTTGGGTCATCACGATAGTCAAGCCCGACCACCATGTCAAGGTAGCAGCTACGGTCGGGACATGGCAACTTGAACTGATGTATGTATGTACCGTAGGAAGTTCTACGCTCTAGCTGACTGATAGATAACCAAAGATACAAGCTTAATGTTAACAAACTTCTCATGTAGTTAGTAAGTTAGTTAGTTAGTCATCCTGCAATTTTAAAAAATTCAGAAAGAGAATAAAAAGAAACATTACCTTAATATACATGAAGTGAAAATATTTCTTCCAAATAATATTGTATTCAATGGATTAGTGTATTCTGTACAATCACCGGCATTCGGTATAGGCCACCAACCAAAATTCATTCGACCATTTTCATTTAGATGAATTGTAGGATTCGCAGTAGGATATGATTTCATCACAATATATGGGTTAGCAGTAGTAGTAGTAGTAGTACGAGTAGTATTAATAGTAGTAGTAGTATTCACATTCTCAATATAACCAGCTCGAATAGGATAATTGTTTAGGTAACCTGGATTTCCACTTAGATAATTCAAGTCCATAGTTAGAGCAATTGTATTAGGCAATCGATTTTTTTCCTGCAAAATAAGAATAAGATTGATTTTGGAATGGAAGCTTAGTTAGTACTACGTGTATGTGTGTGCTACGTTGGAAAGAAAAAGATTCGATAAGCTTTGAAAGAGAGAAAGATGAGTAGTTCCTACGGGGGGGGTGATTTTGATTTTCAAAAAATGAAACAATTTCAGCATGAAGTTCTTTTTTTTTAATCGGCGAATCTAATCGTTTTTTTAAATTTTATTTAATGTGAACCAACTGATCAGTCAGTCAGGTAGGTGAATGGATCACTTCTGTGTGTAGTTTATGCTGACAGACAGACAGACAGATACAACGCAGAACTTCCTACGTGTACCTACATCAGTTCAAGTTGCCATACCACATCAGCACACAGAGACGCAACTGTCAGTTCAAATCCAATAGTGATAGTGATAGTAGAAGTATTAGCAGCAATGGAGAAGATTAGGGAGCGAAGATATGATTCGAGAAGTATAATTCAGTGAGATAAATTTAGAAGGAGAAAGATAGAGATGATGAGGAATTCAGAAGGTCATAATTAGAGAGAACACAAAGAATGGATGCACCTGCGCCATTGCAAACGATTCTGAGCCATGTCGTTCAAGGTCTCTAACCATTGGTGACTTTCGTCTCGCGGACCCCAACCAGGTAGTCGACAACTACCGACATGACTCAGTCCACTTCTCAGTGATTCCATGGATTTCTGCCGTGTTTTGGTTTGGCCACCGCTAGCTTTCTTCTAACCTACTCCTACACTGCTGACAGTATTGTTTAAGGAGGATCATGAAAGCGTCTTGATTAAACCATTAAGTTCAGTGAATGCAACTCTGCTAGAAAGGTTTTCTCTAAGAATATTAATGGAAAATTTATTGAAAAACACAATAATGAAGCGATAGTTTGTCTTAAGTCTGATTCTTGGTTTCAAATGTTTCGCTACTTGATGTCAGTTTGTTAGAAAATTCATTGCCACAGTGAATCAAATCACTTATTTTTAACAGATAAAAAAAAGCAATATACCTCATCCGATTTATTTCTGCACTAACATAAACATGCAATAGAAGTCATTTTGAACAAATCAACTAAATATCCGAATATCAAATCTATTCTACTTTGATTTGCATTAATCTTAACAAAAAGTTCACTTCATTACCTGTTAGTTTACATTATTTGATTATAGAATTGATTAGAATTTAAGTTATCGGCACCTGAACTAGTGATAGGGAGTGAAGTAGTCGAACATGTAGACCGTTTCACTTATCGTGGTAGTCTCATTAGTGTTGAAGCCCTGGTATGTGACGAAATCTCAGCACGGATACAGAATGCTCGATTGCATCACCTATGGCGCAGGTGAGATATCCGTTTGCTAACCAAAGGACGAGTCTGTTGCGCAGCAGTTCGCTCGATCCTGCTATACGGATGCGACACATGGCAGGTAATAGGATATTCGTAGGTGATTAGTATTCGACTATAGATGTCTTCGAATATCCTGGTACAGACGAGTAAGCAATGCTGAAGTATTGAAATTTCATCATTTGAGGTGGTTGGGACATGTGTTACGAATGACCAACCACCGACTGCCTCGAAAACGGATGTTTTTTGGTGTAGGAATAGGTTGGAAGAAAGCTAGGGGCGGCTAAACCAAAACATGGTACAAATTCATGAAGTCACTGACAAGTGGATTGAGTCATGTTGGTAAATGTAGGCTACCTGGTTGGGGTCCGCGAGATGATAATAATCGATGGTTAGAGACCCTGAATAACATGGCTCAAAACCATTTGCAATGGCGCAGGTGCCTCCACTCTTTGTGTTCTCTCAAATTTTGAGCTTCTGAATTCTTCATCACCTTTGAGCCTTAATCTTCTCCATTACTGCTAATACTTTTAATATAGTGACCACTATGGGATTTGAACCGACAGTTGCGTCTATGTGCTGATGGAATATGGCAACCTGAACTTATGTGCTCATGTGCGAAGTTCTACGTTGTAACTGACTTAGTGACTAACTTATGAGATAATAATAATTGATTGTTGGTCAAGATGAATTCGATTATATTCTTAACAATGTTTCAGTTGTGAAGCTTGAAATAGCTAGTAATCGTGAATAACCGAAATAAGGTGTTTTCTTAAAATCTGAAATTGCACACTTACACTCAAATGAATTCAACCAGTGAAGTTCAACACTGACGGGTGTAGGCATTAACTACCATAGACAAATGGGTGATGTCGTGCAAAATCCCTAGATCAATCAGAGTTTAGACATTCATTCCGTTGAACGCCAGCCCAGTGGTCCAGAGGTTAGGCGTTCGTGCGCAAGACCGAAGGTCCTGGGTTTGCATCCTATGAGAAGCAGGAGTCGTGAATGCGCTACTGCCACTGATGAGTCCCATACAAAGACGAAACGGCTGTCCAGTGCTTTTAGGTTTCTAATGGTAGTGTCTGCCAATGATTGATTGATGATTTCAAATGTATTAAAACACTAATCTACATAACTCATCGATTGAATGAGATACCGTTTTAGGAAGTCACTTTTTTCAACCAATTAAAGCCAATACAATTTCGTTCACTATATTAATCAGGTGATAGGTAATCATTAAAACTACAATGAATAATAATAAGTCTTTTTTTATAGGCAAAACAGAACTGACTTCAATAAATTGTATTGTATGAAATTGTTCAAATAGTGTAGTTGTGATATTTGCCATGATAAATTCAACTGAAACGTTTATTATACCATTTTGATTGTAAACCATAATAAACTTCACCTTGATAGAAAAAAAAGATGAAAACGAAATAGCAGAGAAATGAAAATTTTAATTTAAATCTACATTACTACTTACAATTTATATAAGTATACCGATCATATTAAGGCAAATTTTGTATATTGAAAGTTTCGTACTTTTTGGTTTTCCAAAGGTATTCATTTAACTAGAATCAACCACTGGCTTAAATGACAATAGTTTCATAATCTTCACAAACCTTCTTTTGGTTTTCGCGTTTGCCAGCATAGGCTGATCAGCTGACCTTGAGATTTCAATTCCCACCAGGAAAATCCATGGCTGTGATTGGCTGCTGTGTATTTTAGTATGCTATTTTCTTAACTGTCTCAAGGACGTTCCTATGTTGTATAAATAAACGAGAGTTGTATGCTTGATTGTACTGTGATTACTGGGTGTTTGTAGAATATACTTCTACGCTTACAAAGCCTTCTATTTCGACTTTGGGTATTCAAGGTAGCCTACCTGCTAAAAGTCTCGTTCGAGTTTATCGACTAATGTTAACTCGTAATAGCCTCTAGCATACTAAGTGATGAACTTATCACCTTCTTATATTATATAATATAGGCTATGAATCTAGATTTCATGTAAGCTGGCATTGTCCAATAAAGAATGTATCTCTACTATTAGTGTTGTACAGTTCCCAGTTAGATCTAGTTAATAGTAGCTGTAGAGCAACTTACTCGATAGAATTCAGTCAATGCTAAGTTCCAGATGATAGAACCTTGTTTAACATCCAGCGATTACTTAACTCATCTTATAGGAAGTTAGCTAGCTACAGTCTCTGGCATTGACTCATATTCATTCCATCATGATGAAAGATATGTGCCCCAGGAAGTGAGTGGTAATTAGATGGAATTGGCTTTTATCCACTGATTTCTTTAAATGAATAACAGATAGCCTAACACGCATACTTATAACATTGATGAATGATGTATCCTACTTTATTACTTCAGTATGTATAAATCGTTTAGTATGCAAACTTGATACTGAACACAATAATCCTGATAGGAAGGAGTTTTACTTATGTTTTAATCAGAAAACAAGCAATAAATTAGTTTAAATTTTAGGGAATATGCTGCTTTTGGTTAGCAAACATCAGAAATAAATATATATATATATGATATTTTAATGGTCCAAGATCTGATTCTCTTCCATTTCTGTATAATACATTTAGGTTAACTTCATTTATGTGACGATGGTAATCAAAAGCTGTCAGGATATTCATCCAATATTCTAAGTGAATTATTAGTAAAATTCTATTGGTCGATTTCTATTGGTCGAAATTATGGTCGTTCTAACTGTCAAAGTCAAACACTTCAATCTTGTTTCATATTGGATTTCCTGATTATCACTGTCACCTCAAATGTTACTTCCTATCGTTCGTCTTAACTGTCAGTGCCACAGAATTCGATGCTGTTTCCTATTCGACCACAATGTATAAATACGCATTATCTGTAACGTTTATTGACCACGACCAGGACCAGGGCTCGGCCCCGGATCCCTTGTCCGGGATCCTGATTCTCTTCTGGATTCGGACCTCGTACTTTCTGGATGCTTGTAGAATACACGTTCTACTTCATATCATGTCTTCTTATTTTAACTAAATATGGGGGTTGTAATAATCGGATTTGAGTAACATGTCGTGTCACCGGATCCTCGCTGTCGTTTCCGACTAGGTAAACTCGTAATAGTTCAAGTATATCAAGTTGACGTGTTTACGTGTAGGCGTAACAAAAGCCCAATATGGTTTTATACATTCACATGAGCAGATAGACAATAGAATGTGAAGTGAATCATTGGAGAAGGTGAGTGTACCAACTCACTGTGTGTTGAAGCATCATAAGTGACAATTTATATAATCAGATAAAAATAAGCCAGATATGCGATAAGCGAAGTAAGCATTGTGCACACATACAACCAAATAACAACAACTAAGGTTATAGGCGAATAATAGACAAGGTGGCAGAACGTCGGAATAACTCGAGGAGGAGGGAATGTGGTGCGAGCTAATTATAAGTAGTATAGGACGTGAGTGTCAACGTAATGTCCGGCAGCAGAACATGGGGAAGATCAAGAAAGGAAGAGTTCGAAAACAATGGAATTTGTATGAAACGCATGAATAGTGACAATGGATTGATGTTCTGCAACAGGAACAGTCCAGTTCGATATGATGAACTGATATTTTGCAAATTAACGATTTACGATATGGTTTTCCGATTTTACTGAGTAACTCTGTAATTTTCGTTAAATACAATTCGGTTGCCCTCACATGTGTTCTCCTTCACTACAGGATTAGTGAATTTCTTAAAAGGCTGGAATAAGCTATTTAGGCTCAATATATCAATCAATACACAGTACAACGTGTAACTTACACTTGTGATCACATGCAAACATGTCCGGTTGGCTGAATCAAGTGAAGATGGTGGAGATGTTGGACAGGATATTACTGCATTACTTAAATTCTTACAAATAAATGAACTGATTGGTATGGTATTATTAATGAGCGAAACTGATTCTGAAGTAGAACTGTCGTTTTGAACAAGATTTGATATTGGTAATCGTAAGAATTCTATTCCATCCGTGTATGTTAAAATACTTGGCAGTTGTTTACAACTTGAAGAACCATTATCGGTGAAATTCAACACCCGAATACATGTAGTTGTGACATTATTTAAGAATTCTAAAATGAAATGTTTTAATGGCCGTAAATAAATGCAATATGTTTTATATCAATTAGATGCTTTCAAGCAATTTTACAACTTGACACATCAGCCTGAGTTGTTGACGCAAATTCATGTCAGGGAAATAAGAGATACAGAGTTGAAATTTTAAAATATTATTGCGTAAGCAATAGCCAAAAAATAAACGTATAGAAAAATGCTTGAAAAGGTTGAATAAAGTTTGCAGGTGATTTAACTTGAAAATCAAATCTATCCAAATCATCGGGGGACTATGGAAACCGGATACATTACCGTTACTGCAACTAATTTTCAGTCCTGTCGTTTAGGATATTTTATTGTGGAGCCAAGTTATGTCTAAAACTCTGCCTAGAGCACCTCTGCGGCATAAGGTTGCTAACCCCATGCCGTAGAAAAGTAATTCACTGACCAGAAAATTTAATTCAAGCCATTTGATCTCTGTTTTGAGAGTTAGGAGGTCTTTGTTTAGAAGAGTTATGACTTCCTCATGATGAAAGCCGAGTTTCTTTGGAAGTTCCGAGGTCAATTTCTCTTCTGACAACCAGAACAACCATTGATTTTAGGTAAACAGAATATCCGTACACTGTAGAAGACTGGAATAACCATTGAAGTTGCTGAGGAAATGAAAAGATGCAGCCTGGTGCTACTTGGAATCAGGTAAACACAAAGGACGTATATCGGGCGACAAAGATTAGCTCCAGGAAAGTCACTGTTATACTTCGGCAATGAAGAAGAAATGTCCAAACAAGCAAAAAAGCACTGATAGGATGGAAACCTCATAGATCCAGGATTATCAAAGCATTCTTCAAAACAAAAAAGAGGGAAGTACAGTGAATATCATCCAGTGCCACGAGCACACCACTGATAACAATGAAGATGTTAAAGATCAATTCTATGAGAGGCTACAGTTAATCGTCTAGAAATGCCCACAAAAGGACTTCACCATTCCGACGAGAGACCTAGATGCCAAAGTTGGAATGCACAACACGGGATATGAAAATATCATGAAACGACATGGACTGGGAGAAAGGAACGAAAATGGTTAAAGATTTACAAATCTATGTGACTGCAACAAACTGCTTATAAGTGGCACTATATTTTCACATAAACACATGGATTTCACTGGATCACACCACAAAGAACCAAACCGGCCAAATAGCCATCAGTTATAAGTTCAAAAGGACGAAGGAGGACCTAAGAACCAACAGAAGAGCCGACATAAATTCAGATCATCAACTTGTAGTGGTCAAGATGAAAATGACACTCAAAAAGCACTGGACAACAGGGCGGTGATACAGTCTTTTTTGGGGATACTGGCAAAATCAGTGAATTCAAGGTAGAAGACCTCAACAACAGATTTCAGATCTTGCACAATCTACTCAATGGAGAGGACATTACCGTGAAGAATAAATGGTAAGGAATCAAGGCAGCAATCACTCCAACATGTTGTAAGTTTCTTGGCCACAAGCAGCGCCATCAAAAGGAATGCAACACAGTTGGTACACCAAATGATATTCAAAGTAGTAGAAACAAGAAGGCAGCAACCAATATCAGTCGAACAAGAGCAGAGAAAGCCAAAGCGCAAGCTGAATACATAGAAGCAAACGAATAGGTGAAGAAGAGCGTCAAAGTTGACAAACGGTAATCTGTGGAAGATCTAGCGATGACGGTGGAAAAGGCTGCAAGTGAAGAGAACATGAGACTATTGTGTGATGCAACAAAGAAGCTCTCCTGACAGTCACCATAAACCAAAGAGATCAGTGGAAACCAAGGAAGGTAGAGTGATCACTGACATTGAAAAGCAGTTAAGCAAGTGGGTAGAGCATTCTGAAGAACTCTCTAATCGACCAGTCCCGCTTAATCCACACAACATCGTAGAAGCACCCATAGACCTCCCAATCAATGTTGGCTCACAAACGATTGACAGATCAGCAAGGCTATCAGACAAATCAAGAGCGACTAAGCTGCAGAACTAAACATCATTGCCGCTAAAGGACTGAAATCAGACGTACTAGTAACTTCAGAGATACTTCATATTCTCTTCAGTGAAATTTGGGATGAAAAACAACTGCCAACAGACTGAAGACAAGAACACGTGATCAAGACACCAAACAAAGGCGATCTCAATTAGTATGAGAACTACAGAGGCATCACTCTATTGTCAGTACCAGGGAGTCTTCAAAAAATGTGCTGTTGAATAAAATGAAGGACTCCAAAGACGCTCAACTACTAGATCTGCAGGCTGCATTTCGTAAGGACTGATCGTGTACCGACCAAGTGGCGAAATTACGGATCATTGTGGGACAATCATTTGGATAGAGCTCATCACTGTACATCA